AAAAGTTAGGTCACAAGGATGGTCAATTTATGTGGTAGAGTTTGCATAGCTACAGGGGGTGTGACATTCATATAGCTGACGCCCGTGACATGCAGTTTCAGGCAGGTTTTGTTTTTTTGTTTCTACATTTAGCCCTGCTGCAGGCAAGCAGCAGGGCTAAATGTAGAGCAGGGGGAGCCATTTTGTACAAGTGATCTGATCACTTCTAAGCAGCCTGCTCCTCCCCCCTACATGATCCGTCCCCATCCACTCTTCTGAGGGGGCCCGGGACCATGGCTAATTACTCACAGAGACTCCTGTCTTAGATGCACAGAAGTTCCAGCACAATGCTATGCTCAATCTCCTGTATTGGAGGGCAGGCTTCATTAAGAGGGCCTGTCATCCCCAAACGCCATTTTCACAGGGGCAAAAAAAAAATTAAAATGAATACAATACATTTAAAACCAACACAGTCGCCCCTGCCATCTTGGATGCGAATGGAGTGTGTGTGTGTGTGTGTGTGTGTGTGTGTGTGTGTGTGAGAGAGATGAGTACTGCCCCCATTTCACTGTGTGACATTGTGGTATCGCTTCTTAGCATGGTTAAATACGGTTTTGGTTCAAATCCTTTTTTTTTTTTTGTATCAGGACAAGTATATCATGGGTAAGTAGATGGTTTTGTATTTTTTAAAACTTCCACACCCGAGGTCCTGGAATTCAACTCATACCTGCCCGCATCTGTCGACACTGTAAACTGAACATCCAATTCAGCTTCTGTTGCTTTCTTGCAAACCGTATCAATGTCTATAACAGAGTGTAAGCATTCTGGGCCTCCATCCACACAACACTCTGTATCTGGGCAAAATTGGCGAACATCCAGGCCAAGGTATCCTTTGTTGTGACCACATTTTTCTAGTGTCACCATTGTAGCCATGCCAGAAACTCCAACGTGAACAATGAGCTGGGGAAGGGGGGGAAGAGTTAAAATAGAGAAAAGAAGCGGTTAGCTGTATTTTGCATTGTAAAGTAATTATGTATCAAAGTGAACAGACTGATAACTCTGTATAACCCCCCCCCCCCCCCCACCAAAAAAAAGGGGGAAGAGGGGGAAAGAGGGTGTATAAGTTAGGGCTATGGATCCATAGTGATGGCTTAAACTTCAAACACCAGTAGGTTGCAGGTCAAAAACCTCCCAAAGAACTGGACCAGGTTTATGCTAGAACAGTTACTTCCATAACCAATCATCTGTTGCAAAGATAAGCAAATGTAACTTTAAATTATGTGTGATTGTATTAGGCACTAGCTCCATATTGGGATGTTTAACCCAATCTTTAGATAAGCTTTCCCCTGTGCTAATGGTAGGTTTAGAAAAGGTCTGCCATTTGACAGGTAGCAGCTGAAATGTAATATTAATCCATGACACATTAAAAAAATAGGTATTAAATATCTTCTATTGAACATTCCACATTCACGACATTATAACAACCTGCATCCACTCTCATATGTTCCCAGTTAATGAATGTGTACACAATTGGCAACACACACACCTGTTTAAAAAAAAGGAGAAGTATGGGTCAAGTGAATTACACTGAGCCCCATAGTTAGAGCCGACGTGTGACATTAAAACAGTCACACGTCGGCTCTATTAAACAAACACCTGCTGCTCACTCACTTCCCGATTATCTCCCTGGAAAGAACGGTGACTGTCAGTCACCTCTCCCTGCAGGGATTCCCCTCCCCCCACCGATCCTCCAGCGCCGAGGACTACAGCGGTGGGCATAGCTGGCTCTGCCTCTAGATAGACAGAGCCCGCTGTCAATCAGCCAGCAGGGTGGCACTCACAGTATTTTTGGGATCCGCCGTGGCTGCGGAGCTCTCAGCATATATACTGAGTTTTGGGTTACCGGAGGACGTGAGTATATGTCCTCCAGTGACCCTAAAGAGAACTATGGGATAAAAAGGTTACCCCTTAGTTCTCTTCAACTCCAATACAATTATAACACTTCTGTGCACAGTGCAAAAAAAAAAAAGAAGAGCAATCGAAAAGATAACAAAACGCTCACCGTGCTGAGTTGAACAACACCCTCAACTTACCTCAGGGTTGTGTTTCATCCATAAATCTGGGATTAACCTTTGAACAGTTTGATATTCAACTGGAACTTCATACACATGCAAATTAATCCCATCTTGCAACCCAGCCTTCTCCAGTTCCTGCAAGAAAGAAAAATGACAATAAAAATTAGAATTACTCTAATTGTATGGTAAATGCTCAGGTGCTCATCCAAAATATTCATACAAATCCATAGTAAGTCTAGAGCAGTGGTTTTCAACCTTACTAGGGCTGGGACCACTTGGTAACATTTGCCAAGTTGTGGTGACGGCCCCCACCCCCGTTAAAATTTAGGGATGCCCCAATACTAAGCATTAAAGTAAGTACTCATACTTGCCCAAATGCTCCGATACCAGAGCTGCCAGTCAGAGGGAGATTCCATGCACCCTTGCGACACTGCCAGTCAGCCTGGCTTCCTGACTAATCAGGAAGAAGGGCAGTGGGTCATGACCTGCCAGCCAGCTTCCTCATTGGTCAGGAAGCCAGTATGCAATGCCGTGAGGGAACATGAAACCAGCTTCCCAGCCAATCAGGAAGCCGGGCAGTGGGCCATCTTCCTGATTGGCCAGGAAGCCAGTCTCTCGTGGCACTGTTTTCGATACTGAGAAACTGGTATCGGAGCATCCCTAATAAAATTAACTGCGCTCTTCCTTCACTGAATTTTTGTACAATTAGGTCACTTACAGTGTTACATATTTTAATGCAAGCTACTAAGTAACTTTCTAAAGAAAACAAAGCCAAGGAATGGCATCAATCCTAATAAAAAAAAAAAAGGTCAGATGTGATACCCAAAAAGCGTTAGTGCGAAGGCTGTACTTGTTTATTTCTTGCCAGATCAGAAATTCTCAGGCAGTTTTTGCAAGAGCACAAAGATCATCTTCTGCGATAAGTCTACTTCTATATTTAGACTTGATAACCAACAAGCTTGAAAAGCCTATTTCACAAAGGTACGTTGTTGGAAACAGAGAGGAGGCGCAATACAATCTCAGGTAGAACAGGATATGACTGCAAACACTTGATCCAGAAGTTATGGACATTAAAGAGATCATGTTCAGCTGCATCACTGGTAATGAGTTCAATTAAAGTGACATGAAACCCTCAGATTTTGCAACATAAACCAATACTGTAATTTGTGCCTTACTATAATCCATGGTTGTTTCCCTTCTCTTTGCTGCTCTTCCCTTTAAATCCTCATGTCTTCTCATGCTTGGGGAGAACTTCCCTTTGCAGCTGAGTGCCTCTCCCTGTAGTGCTGGCTCAGGTTGTGAACCTTCACACAAACACCATTTATCCATCTCAGAGACAAGGCAGTCTGCTGCAAAACAGAAGTTCTGCCCCGCATGAGAAGAAATACGGATTTAAAAAGGAAGAGCAGCAAAGAGAAGGGAAACAACCATGGATTACAGTAAGGCACACATTACACTATTGTTTTATGTTACAAAATCTGAGGGTTTAACTCCTCTTGTGCATTCTCAGGAAGATTATGACTGTGAATGGACTTCTAGCAAGTGCAAATGGGGAGTCAGGTAAATACGTTGAAATTTCTTCTTTAGGACTGGTTCACACCTGAGCGTTTTACAGCGCTGGTCAACGCGCTGTAAAACGCTCAGCATGTGAAAACCAATAATTGCCTATAGGCATGGTTCCCACCTGGGCGTATTTCAGCGCGTAGGAACGCTCTGAAAAACGCCCTACACCCAAAGAAGTACAGGAGCTTCTTTGGGCGTATTTTCCACGCGTATCCATTAGGATACAGCCGGATAGCCCTTGTAAATGCGCGTTTGTTGCACGTTTCTTTTACCGCAAATCGTGCCACGCGGCAAACGCCCCGGTGTGAACCCAGCCTTAAGCATCTGCAAGTGTTCTTTGACAGAAATAACCATTCCAGTCCAACATCATTTTCCTGGGCAGCATGTAAACGTTTCATGCAATTTTTCTTGCCAAAGCTGAAGAAGTTTAATTTGGAATGCTCACATCTTTTTGGACAAATCTAGGCATATGGCAGAACCATAGCATATTTCATGAGGTTTACCATGAAAACCAATAAGGTAGGATCATTAGTTTCTTTGGGAAATGCCAGATTTACATATTTATCTGATATGATAAATATTACCGTTACATATGTATGTCCAGGGTGCATAATTTTAAAGTAAGGCCAAGAGAGTAAGCTCACCAGAAATCAAGAGGTAATGAGAGCTGAGGGCCATATAGTTTTGCAATGGCAAAAATGATACTTTACGATGTACAGTATACACGTTAAAAAGGGATTACCCTTGCTGCAGCATGGCTCCCCTTGAGATCACACTCCAGAAGAAATCTTTGCGGAGCCTTATCAATGCATGTCTCCCTACACAGCAGTTTAAAACTTTTTTTTTTTTTTTTTTAAATACTTAAAACAGGCAG